TTTACCCTCTCCTTTCTGCTATTTAGTGATCTTATTTAAATCCTTGCAACAGCCCACAAAGAATCATCACAGCGAATTCTTCTACCGAATCTCGCTTCAGTGTTTTGTGAAACTATTACCCTACATTTCTTCACAATATTAATATATTTTGAAAATATAAGAATTTGAAATATATATTCCACAACTATTTATAAAAATCTATATATATTTAAATGCTAAGTCTTGCTTTTCTTGAACCATCTGCTTCACCCAATTATTTATATTAACTGCTTCACTGATTGGCTTTTGTACACATTATGGCATTATGATTGTTCTATGTCAGTTAAGAATTATTTAAAATATTATAACATAGTAGAATTAAGAAAGAAAAATTTAAAGAATGACACAGCAATTTTATTTAAGGTAAACACAAAGTCAACATTTGTAAGATACAAGATGAACAATGATGGAAGTTTCCAGAGTAGCTAAATATATACAATATAAATATAAAAAATCATTAATCTGTACATGAAAAAATACTTTGCTACAATTTTTCTATCTTTTCGAAGAAAAGGGTAATTTATCTTCATTACAAGATGTAATACATACAACAACACAACTTTTTTCACGTTACAGATAGTGGGATATATGTTGCCTTTTATTGATATTACCTAACATCATTAAGTTAAAATATTATTTTTATAAATTAGGTTATATTTTGAAGATAATATAATGAATAATTATCCTGTAGATATAAATGATTCTATCATTCAATGAAATACTTTCTAACAAGCTAATTTAATGAATATCATTTGTATGCTTAAAAAATGAAACCAAAAAGATTTAATATATATATTTTTTATTTGTTACTTTTGAAAACACCATCTATTAAATTAATTAGCAGAATTGAAAATATCCATTTTAAAATATATAAAAAGAAGTATTTTTCAATAAGGAAAACAAATATTTATTTTGATAAAAACTGAAATATGGTTACAAAATTATTTATTAAAAGTTCGAAATCATTTTTAATATATACAAAACAAACATTTCAAAATATTAATCTGATAAAAATAAATCAAATTCTTTATTTTTCAAAAAAAAGGAAATTTAGAGGACTTCAAAAAAAAATTAGAAATATATATAATTACTATATAAAAACAAAAATAATAAATATAAATAAAAATATAAATTTTTGAAAGATAAATATTTATAAATATATTTACAAGAATAGATTTATTGTCCGTACCTGATATCATGTGGGCGTACTTCTGTGGACAGTGCTGGCTGTCGGTAATGAACGTATACTCAGAGCCTTGCACACACAGGTAATTCGGACTTTGACCACGATGGTGTCGTTCCTTCCGAGGATGAAATAGGGCTTCCCAGGATCTGTTTGTTCAGGGCAGTCAGCTGTGAAAAATCCAAAAAGATATATCCAACTAGCAGTGACAGTCTCACTGCAGTTTCCTTCGACAATTGGAGGATCAAAACCGTCTGGCAGAGCAAGAGCGCCAGCACAGCCAAAGAGGGCAAAGAGGGTAAACAGCATCTTGAGAGCTTGTAAGGAGAGTGTCTGTAGGCTGCCAGGAGCTTGAGTCTTATAGGGGGAGTGATTGCGGAGTGGAGAATGAAGCAATTTAATGTTATCTGCACTGTTCTCTAACTTTTCAGCGTCATATCCTTTATCGCTGAGTTTGTTTCTATTCTAAGTAATTTTAAAAGTTGAGAATAATATTTACCAATTTAATTCATGCTATGTTTAATTGAATCAAAAATTTTGTTTTGTTTGTTTTCTCGTTAACAAATAATAATTTTTGAAATGTTTCATATTAGTTAGCATTATAACTCAATTTAGAAACAGATTTTCAACAATCATTCCAAAGATTCAAAAATTTTTACATGTTGTATTTTGTACAGTATCGCCTGTATATTAGACATTCTCAATGTTTTATAATATGTTAAATTGTGAAACCTTGTGAAAAGAATGAGTGAAAGTCAATAGTTTTTTTTTTTTTGAAATTATAGGTTTGGTTTAATAAAGTCTAAAAACCTCTAAAAATAGTTTGAATAGTTGCCTGATATTTTCTAATATATAATAAAATTATTTCTATACCTATATATAGTATATTTTGATATATAATATGATAACTCTTGTTTTATTGTAAAGTTCATTTATTTCAATTATTCAATTAGATTTATCATTTTGAAATATCATACCCCATTATGAAAATGTATACTGCTCATATTCTCAATAACCCCATATTTTATGTAATATTATATTAATATAATCTGTAGCAATCCTCCCTTATTTGTATACTCTGTGTTAGGTCATACCTATGATAGGTTCGTTTCAATATCCAATTTAAAGGCTTAGAATATGTTGGGACTGTACTTCTATTAGTCAAAATCAGTATTTTGCTAGATTGTTAAGATATTTCTTGGCCTGTTCCTTGAGTCAACACCTAACTGTCAAACTGTCCCAACACCTACTTAGAATATGGTCATAAAGATGTAAAATTGATCCCTCCACACCATAAGCTTTATTTATATGTTAATGAAAAGTCCTTTTCTACAAATACTCTAAATGTAATTAATGGATTTTTACAGATGACACACACCAGATATCTTCTTTTATACCACCTTGCGGAAGAGAGATTAGTTGAGAATTAATTTTAGCAATAATTCAACACTTTATTTACATCATTATTGAAATAAATTGGTATGAATACAAGGTATGTCCCATAAGTTCCCGTACTGGATCCATAAAAAAATAATAATAATAAATGAAAAGTGTGAATAAATTTGACTGTCTATTATAGAAAATATATCTGGCAACACGGTGGTACCAATATCGAGCCTGTACGTGCGCGCGCGCCGAGGTCATTCTAATTTATTTAAAGGTTACACATAACGCTGCGGCGATTTTACGATGGAACAAAAATTGAAGCAGAGGATTTGCATAGAATTTTGTGGGAAACTTAAAATATCTGTAACTGAAACTTTTGAAATGCCTAATAAAACATTCCTCAATGACCCCCCAAAGAGAACAACTGTTTTTGAATGGCATTCTATAATTAAAGCTGGCAGAATTTCTATTGAAGATGAACCTCGTCAAGGACGCCCAAAATTTCAAAGGACATATGAAAATGTGCAAAAATCACCGATTTGATAAAAGAAAACCCTCGAACCACCTTGCTGGAGCTAGAGCACGACACAGGCATCTCTAAAACAATGATTGGAAGGATCGTAACCAAAGATTTGAAGCTCAAAAAGATTCCTGCAAAATTCATCACAAGATTCCTCACTAATGAGCAAAACCTGTGTCGGCTTGCAACCTGTGAGGACATGTTGGAAATGACAAGAACGGACCCGGAATAGAAAGGCAAGATAATCACAGGCGGCGAGACATGGGTCTATGGCTATGACCCTGAAAACAAGCCTCAATATGCCGAGTGGAGGGGTCAGGGTGAGCGTAGACCAAAAAAAATCCAGGATATTGAAATCCAGAAACAAGGGGTTGCTGGTCGCTTTTTTGGATAACAAGGGCATTTTTCTTCACGAGTATCTTCCTGCAGGCCAAACAGCTATTAAGGAAATGTATTTGGGCATTCTTCGCCATATAAGGGAAGCGATTCAAAAAAAGGCCAGAAAAATGGTCTAATGGTAACTGGATCAAACATCATAACAATTCCCGCCCTCACACAGCGCACTTGGTGACGAGATTTTTTTTTTTTGATAAAAGCGGGACAGAAATCCTACCTCAACCACCCTATTCCCCAGATATCTCACCACTTTTTCGTGTTCCCCAAATTTGAAGTAGTTCTAGAAGGAAGACATTTGACACCAGGGATGACTTAATAGAAAAATCGCTGTTGGCATTGAAGAGGATTCCAAAAGAACCCTATAAAAACTGTTTCGACAATTTGGAGAAACGATGGCGCTGGTGCGTTGAAGCAAGTGGGGATTACTTTAATAAGTTTTAATAATTTTTTTAAAAAATATCTTACCATTTTTTTTATTGACCCAGTCCGGGAACTTATGGGACATTCCTTGTATATTGTTTCTCCAGGTAATTAAGATATTAATTCAATAGAAGAAGTGTTTCATTAAGTATATAATTTGCGATTATTTATGAAAAACGTTTTTATATTGGAATTATATACAAATATTTATTTGAAACAAAATTGATTTTTTTATTTGTTCAAATGAGCATTTTAGATAGCAGAGAGTCATATAACTGCAGGAAAATCAACTACATGTTGAGTTAGCTTGTTCCAAAAATTCTTTTCCAACTCAATTTCTTGATAAATAAAAAAATCAACCAAATAAATATTCATATAATTTATATCTGTGAAAATAGATGTTGTAAAATAGCATTATTCAAGTAAGCCTATTTTCATTTCATCCAATATAAAAATTACAGCAATTTATATTCCGTAATTTATGCACAGAATACTCTCAGATTGGGGAAAGTTATATTTGGCAATGTTTCCGCCCTATTTCCGTGTGTCCGTGTTCTTTTAAGATTAGAAGTGTCATTTTATCTATGTTATTTCCAAGCTATTTTTACTTGTAATTTACTGTTGGTCGTTTTCACCACCATCATTTATTCATATTGACTATCGTGTGGGTATGGTTAACAGTACATTAAGTTACATTATAAAGGACTGCGGAGAGTGATTATAAACAATACCTAAAGTTACACCGCATAAGTTTCTTTTTTTGTGAAAAATCAATATTTATTTCAAAGAGAAATATTTACTATTTCTAACTTTTTTGAATGAAGTATGAGAGGGTGAAAATATGAAGAGTAATGGCGAATGGAAAAATAAAAGTGTCCAGGGGCGGGAATCGAGCATTATAAATAGTAAATATTTCTCTTTGAAATAAATATTGATTTTTCACAAAAAAGAAACTTATGCGGTGTAACTTTAAGTATTGTTTATAATCACTCGCCGCAGTCCTTTATAATGTAATTATAAGTTACTTTAAATATTATTTACGAATGGAGGAATACGTCCAGGGTAGTCTAGTGGACATGGCACATGCCCGGTAAGCAGAAGGTTGTGGGTTCGATTCCTGCCCCTGGACACTTTTATTTTTCCATTCGCCATTACTCTTCATATTTTCACCCTCTCATACTTCATTCAAAAAAGTTAAAAATAGTTAATATTTCTCTTTGAAATAAATATTGATTTTTCACAAAAAAGAAACTTATGCGGTGTAACTTTAAGTATTGTTTAGAACATTAAGTATTGTGGAACTGATTTCTTCGAGAATTTTTGTGATATTCAGAGAAATATTTCCGCTAAATTAATATAAATCGAAATGTTCTTTGTACTCCTCTATTATTTGAAACCATCTCAACATTCCTTAACAACTTTCCTAGGACCATCTAGCGTTTTGGGTTTTCTGTATCTAAGAGCAGTTTCCAGCAAGCCAAAAACACAAAAATACATTTGGACCAAGTCTGGGTATTTGGCAGGGGTATGATTAAACGGGATGTACAAACAGGTCTTGCGTTCTATAGATATGGTGTGGCTTTAAAACATGAATTATATTATTTCTAAGTATATTACGCCAATATTATTCTGGTAATATGGTTAACAGAACATTAAGTATTGTGGAACTGATTTCTTCGAGAATTTTTGTTATAATCAGAGAAATATTTTTGCTAAATTAATATATATCAAATGTTCTTTGTACTCCTCTATTATTTGAATGAATTGGCACTCAGTATTAGCAATATTCTTTGATAATTTTTATTATTTGGAAAACGAGTATATATTTTGGAAAGAATTAACCTAATATTTTACACAATATCTTATATTTATAGGCATTTCGAATATTTAAAAATTGTTTTCTTAAATAAGAAAGAATGGCTTCAATCATTGCGAATATTTTCAAAAAAAATGGAACGCTTCCTCTGTATTTAAATATTATGTCAGTGTTTATAGAAAGGGGGAAGTTTGACTCATAATTCTAACTCGGAAACAGCTGTATGTTGAGATTTATTTTTATCAACTATTGTTTACGACCTAAAAGGAAAGGTAAATCTCGAAAATCAGTTTGTTTTGAAAGCCACCTCGTAATTTCAAGAGAAAAGTTGGAAATTCAATATAAATAATAATTTATCTGTGTGTGTGTGTGTGTTATATTTGTTGATTTATTCTATTATCATTTTATATATAATGATCTTAATATAAGATCTATAAATATAAATGTGAACATATATAAACAAGCGAGTATATATAAATATATGATATAATATATATATAAAGGCTTAACATCAATAAAGCTCAAGATATCGTAATAAGCCAATTCATAAAATGGGTTGATGTTCTTTTATATCTTCTTATGATACACCTCTTTATTGATGGCTTCCCTCTATGTCTCTGTTCCCTCATGTCATCCTCTACTGTTCTCTCTATGATGTACACACGTTTCTAACCATCTTACCTTCTCAGAACGCGCACTTGCTGGATGATTCTTTGAAAATTACGTTTGTTTATTATAACATTTCTTTGGAGAGACGGACTGTTATATTGTGATAGGATGTTTGGAGCTGTATTAAAAGTTAGATTTCTAGCTAAAAAATAGAGATAAAATATTCTTAGAGGACCAGTATATTGAAATGGAATTTCAGAGCACGTTCAAAATTTCTGAAAGAGTTATGAAGAATTTGAATTTTATGAATGAATCCAGATATTTTGTCACATCATCAATCTTTAAAATCTAACCTACATCATATTGACGTCAAAAACAAGGAACATAAGCTATAATCGAGGTTTCAAGGCTATTGAAATATCAATAATAGAAGGGTATAACTTCGTGGTGTTCACAATCATCTTTTGGTAAAGGCTCAACAAACTAAACAGTTAATCATTTGTTTGCACAGTATTTTCAGACATATTAAGATTAGTGTGGATATAAATATATTTTATCACGCACATTATGGTGTTTTTGAATTGATTTTTAAACATCAATTGTGCGAATTGGGTGTAATTTGCTACCTTGACAAAGAGTAGCAATAATGAACAACATTTTCACCCAAGAAAACCTGATGGCGTTTCTAGTGTAACTTTTCATGCTGAACTCAAATTAAATTTCATGTACTTTCCATCACTCACGGTTTTTGAATGATAACCTTTTATTATCATTGGGATAAACACAGCGAAATAAATTTAAACAAAATTATGTATGAAATTTGAAAAAAACCTTATTATATAAGACTGGTTATCCAAAAAACATTTTTCTTTTTCCTCAGAAAAGCAGGATTTCATCTTAATGTAACCTTTGTGCTGATTTAAAACTTTATATTTGTTTTTTTTATATACTAGTATCACGCAAGATATCTGAGAAAAACTTTCATGAAATTTCACAATATTTTAATTTATATACGAATATATGAACGAAATTAATTATATTTATTGAAAATTAGTGACAGTAGACATTCTTCTATACTTTGTTTGTGGAACATCCATTTTGGATGTCAAGAAGTAGTTAGCAAGCAAGCATATGGAACTCAATTTACCTTTTTACCATTTCTCCATTCTTGCAACTCTCTCTATGCTTAATGCCAAATTCCACGTAATTGTTGAAAGAAATCTATATGTGAAGGGGACACGTTACATCCCATTGTTTTGTAAGAAAGTAAGAATTTAATAACTAAGTTACTGTAGTTTTCGGCCTTACTATTTCCCAGAAAGAACTTCCAAACGTTTCTAAATGAATTCCATCTCGCTGCCTCATTTTAATTTAATCTATCTTCAAAATTCCAATCCTGAAGTAATACTCAGATATAATGTCGGAAGAAAATATCTTCTTTAATATTCGCATTATTTTTGTTAAGAATTTTGCGTCAAATAGAAATATCTATCTGCATTTATATCCATTGCTTTGACAAAGTTCTTCATTAATCCCAGTTTAGATAATAAGTAATGGTGGTAAATATTAATTTTATATAAAACTTTATATATGTTATATCCTACTTCCACAAAACAACAAAATTTTGTATATCAAAGCTGTAATTCAAGCAAGAAATCACTTTCAATTCGAAAATGATTTTCCAGCTGAATCTGTCGCACTTTACCATTTTCAAAAGCAATTTTATGCTTTCGTATTTCTTTCCTAATGAATGAGTATGTTATAGGCACTAATATGAACTTATTACCAATGTGAAGGAGAACAGATATCAAATTACTTCAGAGGAATCAATGAATAAGCGTCACTCTTTATGAATTACTAGACGAATGACCCAGCTTCGCACGAGAATTCCCCCGAGTGCAATTTCCTTCATACTGAAAGTACATCAATAATAAATAGTAGAAGTGCCATACTAGTAGAATACCATACAGAAGTAACAAATAAACCATAGGCAAAAAGTGTGTATAATAGCAAAAATTGTATTATATTAGTGTTTAGGTATTTGTTTCATTATTTTTTGCCATCCATTTAGTTGTTTCAAAATCAATATAGTTTAAATAGATGGCAGCTTTTCCACCCAACCCCGAGGTACCCGCCCCAGTGCATTACCCCTTGAAATTTCCTGAGTTGAGTGAGTGACTGCGATGGATCTTGACTGCGATGCCCATCTTCTCAGTAAAAATAAGAAAAAATAGGCTTATATAAAAATTAATCTAAAATACTGGCATTTTAAATATTTTTCTGTAAATAATGAAAGAGCACATGGAAATTAGGCAAAAATATGTGTTTACTAATGACATTTTAAACGATTTTTTTTATAAAAAGAGATAAAAAGAGGCCAATAAAAAATTTAAAAAAATACGAAAGCCATTAATTACATAAAGTAACACTAATTTTGTAAAGTTTTTTAAAAATTAGAATATGTATACTTACCGTAACTTAGTAATATAAATTTCTCTCTTAATACTCAATACTTTTGTAAAAAAAAGTGACCCACGTATAAAAATATTGTTTAAAAAAAGTACGCAAGCTACTTGAAAAAAAATATATAGAACGCTCATTAGTCGCTTAATTGACCTGGTGTTGTTACTTCTCATCTAAAAAAAGTTATTCAAATGAAAAAATAAAAATCCAAAAATACTAATCAAAATTTAGCCAAAAATATTTCTAAAATTTATAAAAATCGACATGCAAAATTTGGTGCCAAATGATACAGTAGTTTTTGAATTTATCGCGAAACAGACAACAAACATTGACTTTTATATATTAGAGAAGAGAAAGAAAGATATAGAAAAGTCAATGTGTCTAATTTAAAATGAAAAATGTCTAAATTGATATTGATATGTCCAAATATAAATAAAAAATGTCTAATAAAAAGTTTAAAACCTATATAAAGATTTATAAACATATAAAAATATTGGTATATACGTTTAAATATATTTTTGAAACACATTTAAAAAAAAACTTTTATTAAATTTTAAATGAACTATAAGATATTTTCTTCGCGATATTAGGCAAATAAAGAATATATAGAAAATGTGACTAAATATAAATAAAAAAAGTCTAATTTAAAATTGAAATTGTCAATTTAAAATATAGAAAATTTTCAAATAAAATTGCAACGAATATTTATTCCAAGTCAAATTCAAACCAACAACCTTCCCATTAGTATAGTAAACAACTTCTCAAAGTTTCACGGTGATTGGATGTATGGTTTTCGAATCCATCGAGTACAGACAGACATTCAATTATATATTTTTAAGCTGATATTTTGAACAATAATGAACAAATGTTCCTATTTACATAGAGGAGAATTTTTTTAAACATAAATCAAACTTTATTTTTTAGCATGCAACTTGTAAAGCTCGTGGGTAAGCCTCGTAGAGTGCGGGCTTACGCATGCGCCTCTGATACGCATGTATAAATGAATGTATTTGACAATTCAGCCGTTCAAGACGCGGTAGAACGGATTAAAAAGTTTCCTATGTCCGTCAGCTGGTTCTAAGCTACCTCCCCACCAATTTTCATCCAAATCGTTTCAGCCATTCTTGAGTTATATATAGTCTAACAATTTCCACGTCTTACTTTATATATATATAAATGTTAATGGCCCTATAGCTTTACTTTTAAAACATCCTTTATTAGGCCTATCACAAGCTTAACAA